CCCCCCCGGCTCCAGCCTCCTTTCAGGCAGTCGCAGAGAGCGATGAGGGCTCCCCTCAGCCTCCTCTTCTCCAGGCTGAGCCCCCCCAGCTCCCCCAGCCGCTCCTCCCCAGCCTTGGGCTCCAGCCCCTGCCCCAGCCTCGCTGCCCTGCTCTGGCCACGCTCCAGCCCCTCCATGGCCGCCTTGGGGTGCGGGGCCCAGCGCTGAGCACAGCATTCGAGGGGCGGCCTCACCAGTGCCAAGAGAGAGCGCGGACTTGATCTGTCTGTAGCATTTGACTCCAAGGCGATTATTTTGCTGAATATAGGGTATGATGCACTGTATTCTAATCTTGGCACATTTCTTCTTGCCATCTCAACAGCTCTCTTCCAGCAAGAGAGCAGTAGCATTTGCAATAAAGACAACGGTGTTAACTGCACGCTTACCGTCTGCCTCTGAGGAGAGCTGAATTCACCTGCGTGTCCACTCAGTTCCGTGGCAAGTGGGAGCTGTGCGTCCTTAGAAAGTACAAACCGCCTCTCAGAAAGAAGCTGCTTCAGGAGGTTATATATTTTCTGAAGTTCCTCCTTTTGTTTTTGCATTAAATTTCCTTTTAAGCCGACTCTTGGGAAAATTTGCACTGATTAACTCATATTGGGTTTAACTAAATTTGTTTAAACAATGCAAATTCATTTGCAGACGTTCTTTTGATGTAATGGAAGCCCGCTCCTGATAGAGTTAAGCTAGACCGCAAGCCACTTTCACCAGGAAAAAGGATTATATACCCAGAAGGTTTTCTGATTAATTTCATTGAATTTAAGTTTCTATTTTACGTTATCTTTATGTACCTTTGCTATACAGACAAAGCCTCAGAACAGAAAACGCTATTTATTTAAACCGACTGACTTGCTGAAATTATGTCCCGTTTCACAAATGTTTTGTGCCATCGCTCTATGGATATTTCTGTCCAGTTCTAACCAGTGTCATACAAACTTTTTATTATGGAATTAATGTGGGATATGGTTATTCTCAAAACTTTTATTTAAACAATGAAAGAAAACCAGTTGTAAACTTTATCGGTGTTTGTGTCTTTGGGAATCTGTTTCTGATGTCCGTGAAGATATTGCTGCTGCTCTTTGCTTCCCCGAATGATTCGGCCTCCCGGTATTTTTGTGGCTACTGAGGTGCGTGATCAAACTGACGTTGATAATTCTGCAGTGTTTGAATGGGTTAACAGAGCACAGGTTCTCAAAAGTACAAGGTATAAAAAGAAACAAAACAAAACAAGCCGTGCCTGACAAAATCAAGTTTCCTAACATGCGCCTGTTCCACCAGGCGGATTTTGTAGATACGGACAAGGTTGCTCATTGAGGCAAGGTGAAAGCCGAATCCATTGAAACATATGGGGAAACTCCCGTGGGCTGTAACGCTGGTTATGAGTTTGGAAATCCTGGCGTACGTTCCTTTCTCGGCACCCGGAGACCACGAGCCAGCCGTTGGCTTAGAGGGCTCCCTCGTGCTCCAGACCTTTGCTTTGCGCTTTTTGACTCTATTAAGTCTGTGCTTCCTTGCACTTAACTGGAAACTGAAGGTGGCAAATTTTCTGTTCACGTATTTGCCATCACCTTTATCTGATGTCCTTCCCTCTCCCAAGTACGCTTTCATCATTAAAATAAAAATGCGGCCTCTCTAGGACAAATTTGCCGCCAAAGAGAAACAGTGCTGTGAGCAGCTGGATTTGATGTCCTGTGCCAAAGGCACAAATCACCAGGGATTATTAATTTGTTTCAAGGTTTTTTAAAAAGTGTAACATTTTAAAGGTAAATTTTCGTAGTTTGTAGTGAATTCCAACAGATGGCAACTGTATTCACAAGAAACACTTGGTCTTTTTCCTTTTTTTTTTGCTTTTCTGCATTAAAGTATTCCTCTTGTTCCTGCAGAACTGTCTGTCGGTGTCTGTAGAATTATTTAGGGAATTTTTATCTCCAGCATCTTCCTAGCACATTACTTATTTCGCCGTACGTTTGCTAATTTTTCATTGCCTGTGTCTGTCTGGCCGACTTTGCGGGCTCTGTATCGCGGCACTTTGACAGAAGCAGCGTTTGGCCTGACCGGCGTGGCCGGGGCGGTTCTTGGGCATGGCGTCTTCAGCATTTTCCTCGGCTGGGGCCGGCGAGAAAGGGAGGCTCAGCTACGGCACGGCGGGAAGAGGAACCGGATTAGCGTTCAGTTTACTCTTCCCTCACCTGGGACTCTTTCAGGTGTTTGCATCACTGGAGGCAAGATCAGGCAAACAGGAAAGTTGAGATCTTTCCTAAGAGCCATCTGACCGTTTCAGACTTTAAACATATCTGAACCCGGGGTTTGATTCTTCCTCAAAGTCTTGGTTCAGAGCCGACGTGTTCCGCTGGAGCTAAATGGCGTTCTGGGTTTGCCGGTTTGTTTGCGTGTGCTGAAACTTGGGTCGTGGAGCGGCTGCAAAAAAAGAATCCCGTTCTTGTGTTTGACGCGTGGCAATTCGTGACAAAGTGGGAAACGCCCAGTGGTGCCCTGTGGTGCACTTTAATGGCAAAAACTGGAGGGGCTGCTGTGATATATTCGATGTTTTGGAAAATCGGGCTTTAGTTGTGAACACAAGTCACTTTCCTTAGTGAACTAATATCTGGTTTTTTCACCATAGCTTAAAGCAGACCCCTGCAGCTCTCTGACATCGGCCTTTTCCAGCTCTTTACCTTTGGTCACCCTGTGTTTATCTCCGTTCGCTCAGAAACCTGTTCCCTGGGATTATTTCTTTTCATGGCTTCTTCTCTCTTCCTGGAACGCAGAGTGGTAATAAATGCTCTTTACCTCTGCTAGATGCGTGCTTTTTCTGTATTTTGCCTTCCCCTCTTTTAAGTATTTTGCCAAAGCTTAAGATGAAAGGAATTAATCCTAGCAAAAAAGGCTGTTGTGACCCTGAACTCGGAATTGACCGTTGGTAAAGGATCCGTCACTGTGGTGGGGTTCACCTGGAGAAAAGGACACAGTTTATTGAAGCAGAACTATGCCTGATGCGCTCGAACCATGGACGGAAGGAGAAGGTAACGTGAGAGGGCTTTGTCCTCTTCTCAGGGCGCAAGCACTGCTGCTCCTGTAAAAAGTAGTTTCACCCGGGTGTTTAGTAGGAAATCGTGCGTTAATTTGGATGTGGGAAGGGTACCTTAGGGCTTAAGCAAAGTATACGATGAGAACACAGAGTTTCCAAGTTGGGAGAGCAGAAATGGAAATGACAGTCAGGATTGAGTGCGGTCCCTGAAATTTCAGGCAATTACATAGTAACGTTTAGTCCGAAAGACTTTTTTTTTTCTTTTTTAAACTGCCCTCTGGCCATCACAAAACAGAAGCAGTGCCACGTGCCTCGTAACAAGC